ATCCCATACCTTAAGCTTTCTCTGGAAAGCAGTCCATGAAGAAACATTAAACCCCACGAAGGAATGACTGAAAACAAAGAAATAACTAAAAAGTGACAGGACACTCTTGCAGCTTTCAAGGTTGCATCTGAAAACAGATATTATGTGAGTCATAGAGAAATATTGGCCTACCAGAAAAATACTACTTTACTGAAGACTTGCACCTGACCCATCACAGCCCCAGAGCTTAGCAATCCCTGCTACTTTTGGCACAGATGGAGGGCTGGTGGGAGTCACCTCTGAAAATTCTGTCCTGGACTCAAAACTCTTCTTGATGTTTACATTGTTTTACCCACCTTTTGAGAGGAAAGAATAACTACAAACTAAGAAATACTCTCTTCTTTGGAGGCTTTTACAGACTTCCCAACTATAACTCATTGAATGAAAGCGAACTACTGTAAAGTTGTAACCTCCCAACAATTTAGTAAAACTCAAATGCTAACAATTAGTAAAAAAAGTGAGAGACAGTTAAATACTCTATAAACGTGTCATCATAGTATTTCTACACCAAATAAATTTATTTGGAAAAGTCAGTATTTCAGACATAAGAAGTGGATTAGGTTGGTTAATTGAAGGAGCATAAACGAATTTACAGGTGAAGCTACTCCGCAGGGAAGATAAGGCATGATGGTATGTTTTCTCCAGTCCAATTCATCTTAGATCACTCTACAGTGTAATTTCAAATTTCTTGCATTCCAACAGGGTGACTACTCAGCAGAATTGTGACATGATACCTGTATATACGGAAGGTCAAATTCTGGAATTAAAGGGGGTTTGTTTTTTTTTTTTGTTTGTTGGGGTTTTTTGTTGTTGTTGTTGTTTGGTTGGGTTTTTTGGTTTTTTTTTGTTTTTTGTTTTTTTTTTTTAAACACAGGGACTAATGCAAAGTGCGTTCAGCAAGGGTTGTAGAAGCTGCAATTCACCACCTCTTCTGTCACAGCTGAGTAATTCATTGCACAAATCTGCTTCACAAATTTTTGGGTTGTTTTGGCTTTTTTTGGAGGTGGGGGGGAAGACAAGGAAGTTGGATAGTTTTGTTCGTCTTTACACATAACATATCAGATATATTCCAATGATTTTGTGCAATAAAATATTGCCTTCATCACCTTGTCTGGTACCAGTGTATTAATCTAGCAACCTGCCAACTGCTGAGATATAGGTCACAGTGGCTTAAGCAGTATCTACAAAAAATAATGTTTATTGTAGTACATGCTAAACATTAAAATTACATCTACATTAGCAAGTAGAGTGGACCTGCTAGAGCAGATCTGTAGAGAAAGTGTTGGTGCTGAGGACCTAATGTCTGCACGATTCACATTTCATGGCTTCTATTTTCTGGCTGGCTAGCTTTTTTAATTTGCAGTACCTCTAGAGAGGGTGCACCACACATCAAATTATTTGATTAAAAAGCTCAGTCTGCTCCTAAGTAGCACTGATCAAGAATTGAGCTGGTGCGCACTACTATTCAATTTCCAGCAGAGGAGAAAAAGGAAGCTGTCTTAAAGTGCTTAATTTGCCAAGGATCTGTCCCCATTGTGTCTAGGACTGAACTGGTGTCCCAGACACAAGAGTACAGTTCAGCAGATGAGTTACTGTAACCTTATTACAGCATATTGCTCTAACACTTTAATGTAGTAATGTGTTTAATGTAACACAGTAACATAGATTTTTATAAAACAGCTTGACATAAAAATAGATGGGGCCAAACAAAACCAGCTATTCTTGCCACTGAAATTGTCAGGACGGTTTTCTCAAGCTTTGCAGTTAAGGCTTTAGAGACCTATGGACAAAGACAGGATGTTTTTCAGAAAGTTAAAGATACCTCTGTAGTATTTCCACAACACTTATTTTTCTGTTAAGTGTACCCAGTTTCATTTTCCTTTCCAAACAGCTGAACTTGCAAACACATCTCAGGTTCCAATTTCCCCAAACTACTGCAAATTTATACTGCTTTCTCAACAGCAAGTATCCAGCACACTACATCAGGGTCTGACAGTATCTGTGCAATACTATTAGCTATAAACAGCTATATAAGGAAATTTAATAATCAATGATTACAAACTCTGTAATCATACCTAGCTCTCTAATAATTTTATAATGAAGAGCTGGAGTCAATTCCACGCAAAGTTCTGCAAGTGTGACCTGTACTCACTAAATCTAGAACACCTGCAAAGTTCGTTTTAACATAAAAAACAGGCAAGTGCACAAAAAACCAGTATCGCATTTAACTACCAAGCATCAATAAAATAGCTTAGACCCTAATGAATTTGTCAAACTACATTCTGTAACCTAATTTTATATTTGATTTTCGTTATATGCAAAATGTTCTTATGGGAAAAGAGGATACACCTTAGCGTAAGTGAAATCTTAACAGCCTAGTCAAAGAACTATTGTTAGTCCAGATCCAGTTATTACAGAAAAGCTAACATAGCTATACATCGAAAAAGCTCTCCAACAGGTCATCGTTAATATTGTTGCACTTACACTCCTGTTAGTTCACTCCTTTCCCTGGTGTTATGCTTACCCCTCAACCGCCCCTTTGGATCCCAAGGTCACTGGCATGCGTTTGTGCCAGTGACACACGGCAAGTCATCAGCATCCCAAGTCCGAGTATGACATTGACTGTTTCTTTCTCCTTAATCTATAATCAACTTGGGATCACTTTCATGTTCAATGACACACTTGTAACATCTTGCTCTTTCTTAATCTGTCTGCATTTCACAGTGACATCCAATTTTACCGTATATGGTGCATTTTACATGTGTTAAGACACTTTCTCTGTTAGGCTCAGAGCAGGTTTTGTCTAGAGCCAGGATTTCAGCTGACCACTGGGGAGTAGGTTGCAACTCAGAGGTCTCAACTGCTAGCCCGTGCCCCATCTCTTGCCATCATAGGTACTCTGTGCTGCATCCTGTGCTGCCACTTGAGGCTTCTGTTACCATGTCAGGTCTCTATTCCTCTATGCTCTTATTGTATTAAAGCCATAAATACCCCATTCTACACAGAATAACTACTTGCCACTGTCATCTATGTAAAATCCTGTGTATACTACAGAAGAAAAAAGAACACATAAAAAATGAATCATACCCACTTGGTCATTAACAAATTGCCATTATAGCTAAACCAAGCAAAAAGCAGGCTCCAGGTGAGTCAAGGGAAGCTCAGACGAAGTCAACCTGCTAAGTCATAGGGCTGTATTGAGCCTACTGTGACCCATCACTAGCAATGGTAATAGCTGAGCTAGTTTAGGTAGCCAGAAATTCACCCCCTTCTCCTTTACCCCAAAACATAAGCATTTGCCACAGACTTGAATTCAACATACTTTTCACTACAAAAAAAAGAATCTCCAAGAACAAGAGTTAAACATTAACATCTGGAATGCTATTGTTCTGAAACAGTTTGTTGCCACTGTACAGTACCTGTTTGCCATAAAATCTGAGATCTGTGCAACCCCCTTAGTTGCACACCTATGGAACAGTTCTAGATATATTAGAGAATAGAATTAAGCATATTACAGAAAACTTCAGAAGTCTGAAATTAAACTCTAATTCACTGTAGCAGCACCTTGAGAAGACAGTCGCTCCCCCTGTGCATTAAATTTTGGCTTCATTCTTAAGTTGTTTGGAATTAGAGTAGAAGTCTAAGCAACACCTGCAGAGAATAGAAATACATACTGCACATTTTACCAGTTCTGTTCAATGGTTAAGATTGTATTGTTGAATAATAATTCAAAAATCATTACAACTAGTAATGATGCTTCAGTGGAAAAACCTTTAAGATGTTAAGATGTCTGTACCAGTTTTTTGGGTTTTTTCCCCTCTTTTTAAAGTCTTCATGCAGTGACACGGTTTCCGTCCTAGTTAGCCAGAGCCACTTCCATGGAGACTAAGGAAGTGCAATTGCAGGACTGTCCCTTTGGACAGGTGGAGGTTGTCCCAGGCTCTTTGGCTGACAATTCCACCCTCCTCCTAGAACAAGCTGGAACAGTTGAACCACCTCATGATTTCGGAAGAGACAATTTTGACTGTAGAGACAATCAAACAGCAATCTAGTACTATCTGCATTTTGGATACAAATTTAAACAATGGAGTTCTGAAGTGGCACACTTTCTCTCCCCGACAGGTCTGATGACTTCTTCCTAGAAAGGCTGACTACATACTGTATGTATATGTGGGCACTTCTGCACTAGGAGCAACGACAATCTGGAGGAGTTATGCTCGTTTTTAATTTCCCCAGACCATGCAGTTTTACATCCTAAATTAACTGCAAAACATCTAATCAATAAGTTGATCTTCTGTAGCTATTGTAGGACATTAAATCTGACAGAGCAATTCAGCTGCTGGTCCAAATTCTGATCTAGCTACTCCAGCTATGTAGACCACCCAGCTCCAGTCTTTTTGTTAATATGAAATTAATGAAATAAAAGTTGGGTAACAGGGGTTTATATATTTATATATATTCGTAGCAAACCTAGCTTAAAATTTAGGTGTCAGATTTTTAGTTTCCATGCAAGTAGATTTTAAAATTTGCAGAAACTGAGAAAAATGGTTTAGCATAGCAATATACAAGTACTCTAAAATTATTAAAGTACCATCTATGCAACATATCCTCATCACTATCAGACAGTAGTTACATAAACTCTTAAATTTATTAGAAAATAAATTTCCACCACTACATACCAGTCTCCAAAAAGTTTTTATTTATCATCCCAAACTAGTAGGCATTATAAAAATAAACCATTATTTAACATTCAGTTATTTTTATCATACAGTTTTCTTTTTTGAAATAGAAAACATTTATAAAAAAAAAGTTTTCTATGGATGTCCCACAGAGCATCAAACTCCACATTTGTTCTACTGTTGCAGAAAAATGAAGCATCTCCAAAATAAGGGAATAGAGTCTCAGCAGCATGTTCTTCCTTGCTTTAAACTGCAGTGATCTTTGTCCACATTTATGGAAACCTAGTAAGGCCTAAACTGAGAAGGATGGCTATCTGGAGGAGGTGGAGGCGGCGGTGGCGGAGGTAAAAATGGGTATGCTGAGCTGTACATGTTCGGGCCTGTCCAAATCATATTCAGATTAGAAGGCAGAAGGTTGAACTGATGCATGTCATTAACAGAACCAAAAACTGGAGGAGGAAAGGGATACTGTTGCATCATTGAATTTTCTTTTCTATGAGGCTGTGGAAACACTGGAGATTCCTGATGTATTCTGTTGTCCGAAGAGTATAGCTGTGGCGGTCTTACTTGTGGTCTCAAAAAACCTGGAGGGCCTGATGGAGAAGGAAATGGATCCCTGGAGAAACCCCTGCCACAGTATCCCCTTGAATAGCTTGAACCAGGCTGTTGCACTGACTGATGAAGTCCTTTATTCTCACCTGGAAAAAAAATAAATCAACACACATGCACAGTTTTAATATTATTTTGGAAAGATTACATTTAGTCCTCACAAATCTTTCAAGCTGAAGTCAAGGAAATTTGAAAAGCAATGTTATCAACAAATAATAAAAGTAAATAATACATAAACAACAAAATAATACTGGCAAGTCTACCGTTTAGTAACTCATCTTGATTAGGGTAATACAGAAAGGATGATCCTGAGGGTTGCAAATTCAGTCATTAAAAAAGAAATTTCACTTTCTTTCCCTCCAGGCATTTTCATTTGTATTAATGAATCACAGGAACACTCAAACTGAGTATTTTGGAAGCTTTGGTTTAAAACAAGATTTAAAAGCAATGCATTTTAAAAGTGAAGATAAATCAACACTGCATTACACTAAAGTGGTATACAGCTGTCAGACCTGAGTTGGTATCACACCACAGACACAGGACACAAGAAATTATTCAAACTCAAATTAATAAAATAACTTACTCTTATCAGAAAAAAGGCAGTCTGTACATTTAGCCTATTAACTTTCAGCATTCATCTTTCTAAAGATAGTATTTCCCTGTACAAGTGACTGTAAGCATATACTTAGGGTTCATAACAAAGGTACTGCCACGTTATATAAATATCATAAAAGTATTAATGGGATAAGAGCTATAAAATTAAGAGCATCAAAATGTTAGAAATGTTCCAAAGAGCTGCTAAGATATTCAAAAGCTGTATAATTTAAACTGAAACATGAGCTCTAAAGGATTTTAGGGCTAGAAGCAAAAAGGTATTTGGGGACATAACACTGCATAAAATCACTGAATTTTAAGAACCTATGCGGACCTAATCCTTGGCACTAGACTACACAGAAACATTTTCACCTTCGAAAAGCTAAGTCAGGAAATGTAGTTAAGATACCAAAATCCTTCCTCATTTCATGGAGGATTGGGACTTAACACTCCTTCAGTACACGCAGGCCTCAAGCACTGAGGTGAAAGCACTTGAGCAAGTATTTTTATTCTTTCTTCTCCTATAGAAGACTGTAACAATAAGTCAATTTTAGTATACTGAGTTTTATGAAGGTGCAACCAAGCAAAACTCCAGCTGAGACTGTTTCTGCCTCAATTTGCCAGATACCTTTGTTGTTGAATTCCATATCCAAAGCACACAATGTCAATTTATATGATGTTATTTACAAAAAAGCACAACCTGTACTCCCTTGACAAATTGAGACAGTTCCTCCTGTTGTCTTCTCAGTTATGGAACATAGTTCAGTAACAGCCTCAGCAAGCCCTACACAAAGGCAGGTCTGCAATAAGCTGGCAGAATAAGGATATGGTGGAAAACATGCCATATGCTAGATAAGCAGAAACCAGGAGAGAAAATAACCATCACCAACGAAGGGGAAATATGGCACGATTCACATCCTTCCCTTAAGGGAAAACTCTCAAAACCATAAGGCAAAAGCCAGTCCAAGAAAAAGCGCAGCTGTACACAGAGTAGAAGGGTTAACAGGACACTTACTGACTTCCCAGATCAAGAGAAAAGGGGTTCAGTGGGGCACAATGTCTAGCAGCTTTACAAAGGAAGAGCAGCAAACTCACGGAAGGAGTTAGTTTAAGAGAATCCAGCTAAAGCAACCTGATATGTAAGCAGCAGAGGGAAAGGAAGAGGAGAGGGGACAGGAATCAGTAGTCTTTAAAGGGAGTGGTACAAAAAAGCATGAAGAGAAGTAGACCCAGTGAGAACAGAGAAAGAGGGATGCAAACACAGATAGGAAAATTTGGTTATTGCAATTAGAGCACAGCTGCAAGCATACACCTGGAACAGATCTGTCAACAGCAGTAGAAAGGAAGGCGAAGGTGGCTACGTATGTTATGAAAAACTATACATAGCCTATTAAACTACTATAAGTTTGTTTATCTAATGACTGTGTAGGTAAACAAAGAGGTTCTCAGTGAGCTACATAAGTAACAGTTGTTTTAAAGGAGTATTTATACACAGGAAGAGCTTCCTTTTCAGATAGAGGAATAAATTCCCCATCTAAGTCTTGTGTCTTCTCCCTGACTGTCAAAAAAATGGGTTTCCAAAAATTGCACATGGCATTCCTCCATCTTCTCCCTGCACTCAAAGCTTAAGCTGCACTTGGGTCACAATAACCCCTGCAATAAGCAAGCTCTGGACTCCAAAAGGTGGCATCTGTTCTATATTCTCACTGTGTGTCAGATGACATAGTTGTAAAAGCCTTTGAATCTGACAAATGTCCTGCTCTTATACTATTTCCCTTCCAGAGTTTAATCGTAAACCCCTTCATTTTCCTTTTAAAAAAAAAAAAACACCCAAAACAACAGGAATGTAGCCAAAAATTCACAAATATAAATTTGAAAAACACAGAAATACTCATTAACTGTATGAAAGCTCAGTCATTAAGATAGATATCATTGTGTATTTCAAACTGTTTAAGAGACAAAAGCATTCTCCCATAGCATTCACTCACTTGCTGCATTTGTTTCTGATTTCAGTTTCTTCCTTCCTTCACTTTGAGGCTTCTTTTTCTTCTGTTTTGCCTCCCTTTCTTTTTCATCATCACTGAAATCCAAGGCCTGGTTTAAAAAAAAAAAAAAGAACAAAGCCATATAAAGACCGCAGAGAACTTCAGTTCTAGCAACAAAACGTTATTTAGATAGCAATCCATACAGTCTATTCTGCAGTCAGAAGATTATTAAAACTGCACTTTCTTCTTCTGCATTCAAAGAGCCATCATATGTTCAGCTGGCTTCTCAATACAATAAAAAAAAAAACCACTCCACAAATTTTTCATAAGGCAATTATACAGTATTCTATTATTCCTTCTAATTTTCCTAAACCCAGCAACATTCAAGTACTGAACGCAAAATTTTGATTGCCTAGATGTTAGTTAAGGAAAAAACTGGGAACCTCTGAGGGAGCTGGCCAAGAAAGTGCCAAGAAAAAGCTTTCAAAAGGCAAACTGCAGACTACATGAATTAAAACATGGATTTTAAAAATAAGCTAAAATTAATTAAAAAAATACTTAGCACAGTTAAACTACATTAAAAAATATCTCTAGTCTAAAACTGTCACTAAATTGGAATTTTCTGTAGTATATTTAATGACACTGTTCCTGTTAAACTTGCAAGAGCAATGTTATTCCAAAGGAATTTACAGCTTTGGAGAATTTCGTGATTTACAACAGATTCATTTTCACTGCATCATTTTGTTCAAGTTACACAGGGTTTTGCTACCTTTTGAATCCTAGCTTACATTTGAAGTGAGGAAAAGTTATTAGTGACAGGAAAGAAATGTCAGCATAATTAATTCCCTGAAAAACAGCTCACTCATTCAACTTAAAGGGGTAGGGTTTGCTCCCCTTCCCAATTCCAAAAGGAATTTTTTTTTTGCCCCTTACTGATGTATCTCTACAGTATATACAGAGCACAGATCTCAAAAACACTGCACTTAAACAGCGCTAAAAAAGCCATATAAAAGTTAATTCCGAATACAACTATTTCCTCTTCTACATAACTGGATGACCTTCTTACTCCAAAAAAAAGCCACAAGGAATACAAGACGATATATACCACAAAGTAAAATCTTTCACCAACTCCTGCTTTTCCTAAGGACTTCACTATGCCATGGTTCACTAGAGAAGAAATAACAGGTATCTTCTATCGCTAGCTAATTTCCACGTCACATCCCATAAAAATCGCCTCACAGAGAAAACGCAGTTACCTGCTCCTGCTAGCCTTGCAGCATACAGATCACACCTTGTCATCCTATGACCTCAAAGACAAGGCTGAGAGAGACTGTATTACTGAGCCTACAGTTACACTGGCCTCATTACAAGCCTGTCAGAAAAGGAAGGTTTACCATCTACCTTAAAGTAGCAAGCCTAAAAGGCCTAACATGGATTAATTTAACATACATACAAAAAAAAAAAAGCTTCACAGTATCACAAAAAGAACTGACTCCAGTAATTGCACACAGTTTACCATGGAAGCTGGTCAGGAAAGTTATAGAATCAGCTGCCAGCTGAGGGGTCTAAAAGAGTCTGTCTGTAAAGAGACAATTTCAAGCATCAGTAGCACATTGCAAATTTGATCTGCACCCTTGTGAAGAGCTATTACCTTCACAGTAAAAGCCACTTTCTATCAGCTCAACAGCTGTCACAGTTTGGATATCTTAGTGTAAACTCTAACTGCTAGAACTATCCAAAGATTATTCTAACTAAGGATTACAAGGTGTTAGATGTGGTATTTTCTCCAAAACATAGCACACAGTCATACCACAAAGTCAGATCAGCCATGTAAACAGAGGTGTCATAGAAAGCAACCAAGTTTGCCCATCCTTGTCATCTCTGATTTCATTAAGCTTCCTTCCTTCCTACAGTGAAGTACAGGAAACCTAAAGTTCCCCCTGTACTTTCAGATTCTAACCTGAATGTAACAGTATCATAATTAAAATAAAGAAAAAACATTAAAAGAATCCACCAACTTTGGAAAAAACAATGAATCTATATCTGCAGAAGATTTGACTGTTTCACTGTATTTAGCCAAATGTAAATGTTAGGTTCCTACAAATTCAAACCACACATTTACAAGTTTAGCTCCTGAACAGCTTTAAAAATATGACTAAGAAACAACAAAAAAAATGAGCACACCATTAGCCAATAAGCACATTTTGTACCATCATGTGCTTTGGGCTTGTCTGGTTTGGAGAACAGGAGGCTGAGGGGTGACCTCATTGTTCTCTACAGCTTCCTGAAGAGGGGAAGCAGAAGGAGGTGTTGATTTCCCTAGTATCCAGTGATAGGATGCATGGGAATGGTTCAAAGCTGTGCCAGGGGAGGTTCAGACTGGACATGAGGAAGCATTTCTTTACCAAGAGGATGCTCAACCACTGGAACAGGCTTCCTAGAGAGGTGGTCGATACCCAAAGCCTGTCAGTGTTTAAGAGGCATTTGGACAATGCCCTTAATAATATGATTTAGCTTATGGTTAGCCCTGAATTGGTCAGGCAGTTGCACTAGATGATCATTGTAGGTCCCTTCCAACTAAAATAGTCTAAATTTTTTGAACACTAAAAAAAAACAACCCACAAAAACACCTTTCCTATTTAACTATAGAGTAAGAAGAACATACTACATAGCATAGAACTATGCTAACCATGCAAGCTTTTGGAGGATTCAAAACAAGCAGATAGATCTCTTTAGGATACTATGGTAGACACAAGGCTTCTAGGAATTTCAGCTATTTTGGATACAATGCACTTAAAGTAGAAATTGCAAGGAAAAGTGACTCAAGCGTTGAGCTAGAAAAATCTCATGGAAACACCTCAATGAAACTACCACCCTTCCGATTCTTACCGAGGAAGAGAGTAAGTAATGAAAAGTATAGTTAGAGCAGACTTAAGGAGCACTGGACAGGAAGCCTGGATGCCACTGAAGAAATCCTTACAGATCCTACCATAAATGATGTCAATGGACGTGAGAGCTCTCAATTCAGCACAATCCTGTATGGCTGCCTTTGTATGAAAGAAGTTCATCTGCTCTCATGAAACTAGTGTTTTACAATAGGAAACAGCAGTGAAATCTTAGTAAGAAGCCATTCAAAGAATGCAACAGAGGTGGTGTCAAGTTAATCTAACGGAGCAGAAGACAGCTTAAACACTCAAGCAGTACAGTTTGCAGAGTACTAGCAGGCCTTTAAAGACAAAAAATTGCTTGTGGCAAGGTGAAAGACAAAGACGCAGTGAAATAACAGCAAGGACAAAAATTCCCTAGCAGAAGAAAAATATAAGACAAGGTAAAAGCACTGCTTCTCAAAGTTGAACATTCAGGTTATCAAGCACGTTCTTAAAGGACTACAGGAACTGAAGAAATACATTTTCCCAACTGAAAAAACCCCAAACAAAACAAGTAGAAAAAGACAGCCAGTACTCTCTACACTGACTGTGAGTCCTCTCCAAGAAAAGCATGACCTTCTTTTCAATGAAGAAAAGAGGTACAACCAACTTACCTGCATAAAAAAAAATAAACTTGCTAATTAGTTACTCAGCACAGAAATTTTTCTACATATATCTTGTGTAATCAAAAACAATAAACAAAAAGACCCCTATAGTTACTTCAGGTGGTGGTTCTTGGTCATTCATCCAAGATGCATCCGAACCTTTTTCCCTAAAAGAAAAAAAAAAAAACAAACCACAAATTAGACAATAACGATAAAGGAAGATGATATAAGGAGGCTATAAAACATCTTTAACGTTTGAGTCATGTAGTAGCAACATATTCCAGATTAGAAATAATTTGGAAGAACTGTACTGTAGCAAATAGGGTAACACTTTCTCCAAGGTATCCGATCTCCTACACCAGGAGCTGCCCATTTTGAAAGAGGCATTTGTTTTTCAATGCTGCTTCTAAGTGAATAGTGATATATGTGTCAACTTAGGCCTTCACTACATGTGTCACCTGAAAAAGCCTCCTACTTTGAGTGAAGATTAAACATTCCACACAGTTAATATTAAACTTTGATCAATATTCTCTCAACACATCCTTTTGATTCTAAATTGCTTTGAACCTGAATTGAGGTAGTTCACTGCAACTTTCTTATGCTGAGTAACTGCTGACTGCAGTCACAAGCTTTCTTATTCTTCTGGTTTCGGAACACATCTCCAGTTAAAAAGGACAATGAACTAGTCCAGCAGGACACAGGCTTTTAGTAGAACTATAGCAAAGTGAATTTGGAACCAAACAAACCTCTAAGTTTGGCTTACTGTCTATTAAGATAGTGTTAGCTAGATAATTAGGTTTCATCTTCTATTTTGTTGTAATATAGAATTAAAAAGCAAGGTAAAAGACATTTAAGGAAGCCAAAACTCAATTGTCTTGCCCGACAAGCGCCAAAACTAATTTAAAGTGGTATCATTTATTTCACCCACCACTAAGAACTTCACTAAAAATCAAGTAATTTCTTTGATTAGCAACAAATAGGTGGAAAAAAATTAAATTATGCTGTTAAAAGTCTGTGGAAGGTTTTTCCACACCGTACACAAATTTAATAAGCTTGGTCTGGAATATCAGAACACAATCCTTATCTATGCAGACAAACTACATAAAACACAATATAAAATATGCAATACTGAAAAGTCTTACTTTCAAAATGGAACCATACATTTAAAAATATTCCTGTATTCAGTGTGAAATGCCTTCAACTAGTGCTCTAATAACCAAGGAGGTTTTTTATGTATTCATCAAGTCAGCAACAATCAAGGAGCAACAGCTACATCAAAGTGCAGAAGTATCAGCTCTAGGTAGTCTGGACTTAAATTAAGAGGCCCTTAGTCAAAGACTGCCCATGAGAACACTGGCAAGTCATCTGGAGGTACTTTGTGCATTTACCCCTAACCATAAAACTGAAGCTCAATCTCTACATATCACTAGAAAACCATAAACCCACGCCACCTTTGTGATTATGAGCAAATCATAGTAATCACGGTAAGTTTAAGTAGAAGAAAAATTTACAGGGAGGAAAGGAAGATAAGGGCTTTATTAAGAGTAATTTCTCAGCTGCAGAAAACTCTCTACATATGCAAAGATGAAAAGTAACACTTTTTTGGTCTTGTTATGAACCAACTTCTTTGTTTCTCCCTCTCATCCTGTTATTTAGGGGCAACGCACGCCTGCCAGAAATACAAGAGCACGCAAGAAACTCCAAGACCTACTTGTCATTAGGCAATATGTAGTACTACTGACAGCAAAATTTAAACCTTGTTAAGTTTTTCAGGCAGCTTATCTCACTCTCCTAAGGCAGCCTTCCCTGTTTCCGCAACACACAAAACAGTTTTCATGCACTGAGATACTTAATAAACTTCTGTAAAGAACAAGATAGTAATTAATTGATTTCTGAACTCAGACACTGCAAGATCTGGAAGTCTAAAAAATGTGACTCAGAGGAATCATGAAAATACATGAGCTTCTTTAGAATTACTTTGTGTTTCAGGCAATACAACACAGATCTATTTTTAGCATCAAATTATTTTGCATTCAAGAAGTTTTATACTACACTGTCATTTATTTTGCTATGAAGTGTAAGGCTTATTCATAGCACTGCAACTTTGAACAATGCAGATTATACATACCAGATTTCAGAAAAAGTTTCAAGCTTAAGGTTTCTTTCAGATCTCCACCCTGATTCCTTTCCTTTTCAAAGTGCCATCACAGTTTTGAGTAGCAATTCTAGAACCTTAAGCCTATAATACTCCACAAGCTTGTCTGCACACAGTCAAACTAACAAGAAGCAGAAAATAAAAATAATTCATCATCGAATTTGCAGTCTGCTAAGGTCCAAAAGCCTTCTTGTGAAACACTGACAGAAGCTCAACTTTTCTACTATCCATGCCATCTTTGTTTCTTTATACAGATACTACAGCACAGGTCAGAAATCAGAATTCTTTATCCTTTTTCAACATCACCTACTTTGTGAAAAGGCAGCTTCAACAAACAGTAACTATTGTCTGACAAAATCTTAAGAAACCTTACTGACAGAACTCAGAAATAAAATATTGTTTCACTGAAATGTATCTTAAGTCACATTATTCAGAAGTTATGGTGTGCATCAAATTACACAGGTGTCCACACAGCTCATTTTAATGCAGGGCAAGACACAATGTCTGATGCACTGTTCAGCCGGACTGACAAGTCATGAAAGTGTGAAACATCTTAATTGGTGTTCAATTTTGTACCATATATGATAGTAAAGTACTATCAAAAGATATATAGCTCCCAAAACTACTTGCAAATCATGTAACGAACTAAAACACGAGTCTCGCATCTCAGATGCTACATCAGTAACTGTGTGCCATACTCAGCAAGCAGATGATTAAAGTCTGTGCAGCTACTGCGCTAAGCAATAAAGTTTAATGGCACAAATCAAAGACCAGCTGGCATCAAAATGCTGCAGAAAAACAAGCAAGCAAGCAGCAGAGTGAGCAAATGATCTATTTTGGTCTTCACTGAAAGGAAAAAATACTCTTGTTGCTTCCACAGAAATGGGGGGGTTGGGGGGCAGGAAGAATCCTGCAGGCCTGGCCATACACACATGACTGAAGAAAAAAATTATTCAGTACAAATACTGGCAGAGTTGCAATTAATGCAAATGCCAATATTCTTGGCTATAGTCAGAAAAAAATTCGCAAGTTAGATGAGAACTAATCCTAATAGAGACTGTCACTTGTATGACAAAGGATTTTTTAACCTATAGTTACTTCAGACAATTATTCATCAATAATTACAATACTGTCTAGCAGTCATTTATTATGCTTTATTTCTTATTCTGCATTGAGTACACTTCCTTTTAAATGGCAACAAGTCTTATTCCTACATGCTACTTTTATCAGGCAGAATGGGATGCACAAACACTACTTAAGTTTCTAAACATCATACTACATCACCACTCAAATCCCTCCCCTCTCCAGGTTTACAGCAGGTAATTTTCATATAGAATCGTTATTTTCCAACTGTACAACAGATTTATTGATAATTAAATTTCAGTTCTGGCCTTATAACGTGAAATAAAAATAGTAAATTAATTCTGGACAAGTTTGTATTTAAGCAAGTTTATTATAAGTTATGAAACTAAACAAGAATCTGAAGAACAACAAAATCCGGAAAGTTCAGCTTGCAAAACCATTGCATGTGTATGAGAGGGTGTGGGTGAGGGAAATATCAATTAATTTTTTCCTGGTTATGATATCTTAGGTAACACAGCACCATGAAAAGAAAGCAAGCTTAATATATTAAACTGAATAAGAAATTACTAAACTTTAGTAATTATAACACTTCAGAGGCTTGTAGTTTACAGCTACTCTGTATTGTTCTGAAAGGCAAAACAGTACGACCTTGTTATTACAAGACAGTTGAGAATATCTAAAAAAAGATAAAAGTTTTAGTGTTAAGCTTAGTCCTAGAGTTTCTCATTCAAGGCTAAACTTAATCCAGTACTTTTAGCTATATTTAAATACATTATAACCAGATTAGAAAAGAAATCAGACTCACTGTTTCAGTTTCTCTGCAAATATATACTTGGTGAAGTCCTCCACTGATGGAGCAAAATACATGCTATCTTGCACATTAATACCTTTTGCTTTGATATGCTCAGAGCTGTTAAATCTCAACACATAAAAGGGATGTAAAACAGGACCAAATATCTCAAATATCTGAAACACAAACAAAATGAAAACGTTTAAATAAACCACCAAGAGTAGATAGTTTCATTGCAGACAACTATGAAGCTTTAAGATGCTTTGTGTTTAAGAAGTTTGATATATTTTCAAAATGCAGCATCAAATAAAGTTACCTTCATGCTTTAGTTTTATTACCACATTTTGTTTGACAGTATTATTTCCCCAGCTACTGTTTAAGTGGAAAAATTCTCACGTGTTGATGTTTCCTTCGCCGACCCAACTGCACTGCTTTCACTGTCCTCTTCCTCTATTTTAGCAATCTTTCGTTTTGTCAAATATCTATTCCCCTTCTGCATTACACTATCAAATCTCTCATACCACGAACAATCTTCTCAAAGTTCATCTTCACAAGAGGTCTTTATGTCAGTTCCCCTACCCTGCTGCCCAATTCCACTGAAAGCAGAGAATTCTCAGATGTTGTACAGAACATCTGAAATTTCAGGCTGATTTTTTTTGTTTCACTTGCATTTAGCATTCAAAGATATTATAGTACTAACCATTTTACATGATTGCTTTCCTTCCCCAGAAAACATACAAAATTTAGTGCAACACCCCTCTCGGCAAACACCCTTCATTATACTTGCATAAGGGACACACTGGCTTTAAACTGGAACAGCAGAGCATAGATATGTAAACATTCCCCATTTTTCCCGAAACTTTATTCTACTTTCTCCAATCTTTGCCCCAAACTCCTGGCAATAAAAACACAGCCTGTTACTCAAGTCATTATACATCCAAAAGCAACCTCTCCCTCTCCACAAGCACTCTCATAAAATAGTGGAAACTCATCCTATATTATAATTCTGTAAGAATGCAATGAACTCCAGGTTAGGAATTCTTGAGTTTAAAAAAATAAAAATAGATGACCATAGCAAGAGTCAAAAGCACAAAGAAAAACTACCTATCAAGGAAACATTATCTTTCATTTACTTGACCTCAACACTACTTGTTGGAATATAAAAGAGTACTTTGAATTTTGTATTAGAACAACAGGGTTTTATGCTTTACACACACCTTTCCCACTGCTTGCCGATCTTCTTTAAAAATTATGCTTTCCTCATTTACTGGAGGTAGGCCTCTCAGTGATTCAATTATTACTAAATTGGGGGGAAAAAAAAATAAATCAATGTTTCAACAGCAGCATGCAGTTAATTGCAGAGATACTTAAACCACATCGTTATTTGTCTACTAAAGTTCATGGAGCTTCACCCGAAAATTCTTGCACACACACAAATCCACCTGCAATTGTACACCGCTTCTCCAGTGATATTCGAGTGGTAAGATTTATATTTGATAATAGAATTATGGTTCTCTGGGGTGGAGAAAGAAAGTAGACCAGATGATAGGTACAAATGAGAAGTCTCAGATACACACATGTGAGGTACCTGTTGTGAGAATGTTTCTTAATTAAGTGCATAGCACCAATTATCTGTTTTTTTGAGTGCAGATACACATGCTTATTCTGGCTTGTTAGTATTCCAAATGAAACACTCAAAAATTCTGAAGGTAATCTTTTCTACCTCTAAAACAACAGAACGCTCAATTAAGCATTCTAAATGCCTCTTCATCAGCAAATAGTCAGTCAAGCACTTAGTGTCACTCAGGCTCCGACAAAAACTAACAAGATTATCAGTGCTAAACTTACATAACAGGATTTAAAGCAATAAACATCTCATCAAGCTAAAAGTCAAACTTTGCTGCTATTTCAATCTGCAAACACCTTGAGACATGCCAAGCAAGCCTGTGACAATGCTAGAGGCTTAATACTTCACTGAATTTCAAAAGCATTAGGGAAATCAGCTTATTTTGTGCCTACCTATAAGATAAAACATACAGTGAAAGAACCCAATGTCTTGCTTAACCCTCATGAGAAATACACCTTAGACAAAAAAAACCAACACCCACCCAACAAAAACACAACAAAAACACACAACCAACAAAAACCCCAAAACAAAACACAGACACACAAAAAATAAAATGCTCTGAACTTGACTGATCATTCATGGTGCCCAGTCTTTTAGTAGGCTAAGGAAAATATTCTGAAAAGCTAAGTCATGCCAGTCCCATGAAACCCAGAAGAAACATTATCACCTACAGCCTGTTTGACTTAATGGCTGCCCCTACTCCAAACCACTCAAGATCCTCAGCTTCTACTCTTCCAGGACCCTAAGTGCAGTCCCAGGGCAGGTTTCTCATATACACCAAAGCTGTTTACTTTCCAGGCTACAACTCAAACAGTGAATTTTTCTCTTCTCTTTAAGTACCTCAGAGCAAAATACAGCAAAAGTTCTGTTAAGTTCTGATACACTGAGCAGTTCACAGAAAGCACTGTCATCTTGCTCTTAGCTACTGTAAAGCATGAACTTACACTATTCTAACCTTAAATTCACCTCATAGTATGAAACAGACAACTTACAGGTATCACATACTGCAGATTGATCAAATTGGAAGCTTGCTACAAAGAACAGCACAGATTTCTAGTACAAAGGGACAGAAAGCATTCAGAACACCGACTGCTATGCCAAAATAATTATCGTTTCCAAATGAGACCTCAACTCCCCTCATACTAGATACAAACCTGGTAAACACAGGTATCAATTTAGTTCAAAAATCAAAAACTAACATACAATTAGCTGGCAGAGTCCCTAATATGGCCACAAATTAACTGAAATTGAGGCCACTCAGACACCTGTTTCCAGAACAGAAAAGAAAGGAAAACATGTAGAAAGAGGAAGTCATAAAGCAAGGTAGTAAAAGCAGAAAAATAAAACAGATATCTTGGGGTTTGTTCCATTATAACAGCTTTATTTCATGTAGGATTATTAGTCTGTTTTCTAACTTTCACAACCAATCTAAATTCAACACTTCATACATTTCACCTACATAAAGTAGGATGCAGACTGAAGAATTCACCTACCAGTCAACTGACAGGATTTGAAAAGGTTATACTCACCAAGGAGGGTTAGAAATTAAGCAGTTTTGAAAACTGAAGTCTTCAAAACCAGCTTTGTTTAAACATTCACATAAGATGAAAAATAAGAATACTAGCAAACTATGATTCAACTGTTTTTCTTATTTTCAAACTACCATTTTAGCTGAAAACAGCCTTCTTGAAGTCCCCATTATTACACAGTAAGCAAGAAAGGGCAAAGTAGAATGAAAGGACAATGACCACATTACTACCTTCCACACTCTCAAGCCAGCTTCCTGTACATGAATGAAATTAAAACTAACTCCAAACCAACAACAACAACAAAAATACTGTAAAAGAACTGCCTGTATTACCTGGAGTCTTTCACAATAAAAGAAAATTTAATAGTAAA